TTTAAGAACCCCATTAAATTTATTGGTGTTGAAGGTGTTCTAACAAGAGAATCCCAAACAATGATAAGTGGTTACTCTTATAGTGGAATTAGATTACCAATATCGAAACTCGAAAGTATTCCTAAGAAACTAAACTGGCAAGATAGGACACAAACAAACCATATCTCCACACATCTCATGGAAATGACCAAGATCTCCACTGAAGTGATGTCTGCCGAACTGAGACTTCTTCAGTGAATTCCTGACCAAAATCTCGATATGATTTGTCCGACTTTCAAGATTCATGTCTTTTTGGCCTTAAAGCTATGAGTAATTTGAAGTTTGAAACTCTTCTAGTGGATGATTTTCGTAAATTATTTTGGAAACAACTCCATCAAGATTTCTGAACGTTTCCTTTTATACTTTTATGTATGCAATATGTATTTATAGGTGATAAAACTCGGTAAACATTTAGAAAAGGGTGGTTTAAAGGGCTGAAAACATTGGAGTATATAAAAATCTATTTCATTTGGAGGGAGCGGAATTCTCATCTACACTTGGGGATCTCTTCAACACCAGAAGCTACCTTCAGTTGATAGACCGCGTAATCAGAGACATATATACTCTTGGCTCGTCGTAGAAGAGAGCCTTCTACGTTACTCTTTGTTTATGTATAGTTAGTGGAACTATGTTTTAGTATCTTCTCTTTTAATTCTTCTGTGCTTTAATTTTTTTACATCTTTTTGTTTTGGATTCAGGACTAAATAGCTGCTACGCCAAGGAAACGTTCCGTTTTTTGTATAAATTCACATTTTATCAAAGAAAAAAAACTCTATTTCTAGCAAACTTTTTTCTTTAATGCTAGACTTTAAAAGTGTTGGATTGGGCTTAACTCTTAAGTATACCATAGTCTGTGAGTCAACCGAAAGGAGGACAAGAAAAATTCATGGTTACACTACTTCCTACTTTAGCTAATATTAGTTGCCACCAAATTTTCTATTAGGTGTTGATTTTGTCTCTCTGTTTCTGGTCTGCTAATAAAAGCATACACAATAACAAGTCAACAATGATAACTTAGAATCTTCTTGGACCATCATCATTATAACTCATCTCCTGATCCGTATTAGCAAGAACTACAGTTCAGTAATGGGTTAAACAGTGAAAACAGAAACACTGAGATTTTTTTTCTTACAGTGATATGTACTACTAAAGATAAGACTTGGCATTACAAAAATACAAGTAGAGAAAATAGTACAAAAGTCAAAAAAGAGTTGATAAGGAAACGACATAAGAAGAAGAAAGTTCGTTTCTTTCTTTTTTTTTTCTCTAAATACTTCCACAAATTTATAGTTTTAGCTAAAATGTACTTACTTATCTCTTGTTCATGAGAAAAAGAAAAACAAAAGGATTTGCAGTTTTTGTTTCCTCAAAATGGAGCTGTTGATGACCGTTGAAGTGTTTTATTTATTTGATGTTGACTTGCTTCCGCCATTTTTAACTGCATTCTCCAAACCACACAGAACCAGAGTCATAACTCAGGATCTTACTTAAAGTAGCAGAATCTTACATTAAAGTTTCAATTTCTTGTTAACTTCTTGATGAAGTTTCTTAAGTAGCAAGAATTCAGTGTCTGGTTTTACCTGTTCATCTTGTCTCTTGAGTCTTGCATTCTCCTTCTGCAGATTAGCAATTTCAAGCTCCAGCTCGTTTGTATATGCCT